CGTGGTCACTTCTGAAGCGCCGAGCTCTCTCCCGAAGGAGAGGCAGGCGCAAGGCACTGCCCCGGGCAGGATACTGCCGCGTACGTGACTTGCTACGCGGGAGCCGAATGTAAAATTTAACTTTGCATCTGCCATTTTGGAGAGATTGACATAGATTCTATTCGTACATTTTCTACAAAGGTTTGGCCTGAGAACATTAAAAAAAAAAAGTGCAGATTGAAAAGTGAGTTGTGAAGCAACGCATACTTTTTGTAAGTATGCTCGAATTTGAACCAAAACTTGCGTGAGTGTGGTGCTTAAAGTTCATGCCACTGGGATGGGCGATCACTCCCATACAGACAACCCGCAGCGCAATTGGGACCGATGGAATCTTTTTGCCTAAAGGGTTTTTAATCAGTTGGTGGCTTCGACCGGTCTAGTCCGATGTGAATGTGAGACGGTGTGTAAAAAGTAGTTAGAAAAGTACGACGTTCAGCCGTGGTTAGAAGTCATACGTATGCATTTTGACCAGAGAGGTCACAGGTGGTGGTGGTGCTGGTGGGGCTGGTCACATACCGATGTTTTGGGTAGATGGAGGCACTGCATAGAAAACAGCATTGACACAGTGGTCCTTAGGTAGAGGTCTTAAGCACAGATCTGTGCTTAGAAAGGATAGGCAGGAAATGAAGTCATTTTAGGCTATTTTAGGCATCTAGTTAAGAAATGGGAGGAAAGAGGTCTGGATCATTGGCTTCACAGGATAACAGTTAAGGCAGTTTATAGCTTGAAGTTGCCTTGGGATTTTGACGGTGCCGTTTTTATTTGGCACCTTACTCACTAAGACATTTTGTTGGCCCTAAAAATACCTGTGAAATAGTTACAGGTTCACAGAAGAGTCACAGATACAATACAAAGAAGTCTTTTCCCCTAGTCATTTGAGAGGAAGTTGTCAAATGAGATAGATCATCATCCCAAAAATGTTCTTACAAACAGGAACATTCTATATACCTGTAACACATTATCAAAACCAAGAAAGCAATATATTTTTAATCTCAGATTCTTGAAAATTTACCCATCATTCCAGTAATGTCATTTGTAGAAAAAAACTTGAAAATGAGAGTTGCATCTTTAGGCTCCTTCATTCTGTAATAATTCCTTAGTATTTTCTTTTCATGAAACTAAAAATTTTTTTAGCCACAATAATTTTGTGTTTGTGTGTTTGTATATTTGCACAAATGTGTGAGTGTGTATGTAAGTTAGAGGACAGTTTGCAGGAATTGGTTCTCTTCTGCAGGGATTGAATTCAGGTTGTCTTGCTTGCTGGCAGGTACCTTACTAGCCCTCATGGTTTTATTTATATAAAGGTCAAATAATTAACTGCTCTATGTTTGGACAGTACACTTCATATTTCAACCAAAAGACAAAAATTGCAGTTTCAGCCGGGTGGTGGTGGTGGCCCTCACCTTTAATCCCAGCTCTCGGGAGGCAGAGGCAGGAGGAACTCTGTGAGTTCGAGACCAGCCTGGTCTCCAGAGTTCCTGGACAGCCTCCAAAACCACAGAGAAACTCTGTCTCGAAAAAAACCAAAAAGGAAAAAAAAATGCAGTTTCACTCAAAGGTGCAGCTATTAAATAGAGAAAGTGATAAATTTCTCAGGGCCTTATTTCTAAGCAGGATAAAGGAGCATACAAGAGGTTGCTTTGACCATATTGTGTGTCCTGTGCTAGCCCCCCAATCCCAAGTTTCAGCCCCTTCCCCAGTACAAGCCACAGGCTTCTCTCATGCTCTTGAGGTTCTGGTGGCAGTGGTAGACTCCCCTCATATTCTCCCTCCCTCCCTCCCTTCACTTATTCTTCATGGATCTGATCCCACTTATCTCCCTGTCATCTGCCCTCTGTCCTTGTACTCTCCCCCAAATCAAAACCATATTTAAAAGAAAAAACCAAACCAAACAGAAACAGAAGAATCGTCATCGTCATCTTGTGGAAGCTGTAATGTGGCCCATTGAGACACACAGTTGACCTTTTCATTCATTGTCACATGCAAGTCTTCATTGCCACGAGTCAAGTCATCGGTCTGGCTGGAGACCTCTGGCTTCTGCTACACCGATGATGGGTTCTCAGTGGGGTTCCTCTTGGATATCCTGCTGTCCTGTGTCCTGGAGATCCTGTAAAATTCATTGATCTGCAAATAAAATGTGTATGTGCAGCTATCACCACAGTCTAATACTAGAACATTTTCAGTTCCCTACAAGTCTGTCTGTTTACTTATTGGCCTCAGACAGCCATCTCCTGATCTGCTGTGGCTTTTTTTTTTTTTTTTTTTTTTTTTGGACATTTCATGGAACTGGAGCCAGATGACAGGACTCTTTCATCCAGCATCTTTTCACAGAGCATGATGTTTTTGCATCAACTCCTTTTTATTGTCAAACAGGATTACTTATCTCTGGACAGAACACATTTGCTTATCCTTGCACCGTTTGATGGACACTGAATTGTGTCCATGTTTCTAAAATTAGCTGTTATTCTTGCTTTCTTCCCCTAACCGCCACTGTCCTGTTCTCTGTCTTCATTTTTTTGGAGACAGGATCTCACTATATATATAGTCCAAGTTGGCCTTGAACTGTGATCTTCCTGCTTTAGCTTCCTAGGTGGGATTGTACCCATGCTGTGATGCTGTGCTTATTAACGGACGTATTTCGAAGAGGTATATGTTTATCATGTTTTTAGTTTATATCAGTATGACTTTGACTTTATATTCTGTGGGGGTGTATTCTGTTATTACAGACCACTTCAAGAGCACCTTGTAGAGCAGAACATTTTAACAGGTTCACTAGTCTGTGACTTAGGAATTTATATGGACTGGGGAGATGGTTCACCTTCTGCTGTGTTAGGAGATTGAGAATCTGTGGTTATTTCATAGCTGGGACCAAAACTTCCTGTAGGTGTCTTCACTCCATATTGAAGGATGTGGACTTCCCATGTGGTCTTTTGGGTTTGTGGGCACAAATGGGTCTGGAGAGATGGCTCAGAGGTTAATACCCACTGCTCTTCCAGAGGTCCCGAGTTCAATTCCCAGCAACCACATGGTGGCTCCATATCTGGTGTGCAAATATACATGGAAGCAGAATGTTATATACATAATAAATAAATCTTTAAAAAATTTAAAAAGAGTGAAATTTTTACCATCTAGTCTTGGAGTTAATTTGTTTGGCATTGTTACTGCCATACTTGATTGGTTTGGCCTAGTGCTGGAATTAAAGGCATGCACTACCACTGCCCAGATTTTCTTCATTTTTTGAGGCAGAGTTTTGTTTAGTTTAAATTAGCCTCCAACTTGTGATCCTCCATCAGCCTCCCAAGTTTTGTGGTTACAGGCATGCAACATCATTCACAGATGATGTTTGAGAGTTGTCATTGTCCCTTCCTCCAATACAAAAAACAAACACTGTTCCCTTAACAACAACCTACCATTTTCCTCTGACTGAAGACAACTGCTGTTATTTCTAGATAGGTCTGTTCTGCCACTTTATTTATAAATGGAATCATAATTATATATAAATTTGTGTCTGGTTTCTCATCAGAATGTTTCTAAAGTTACAGCATTTATTGGCACTTCTCTTTATGGTTCAAAATATGAATGTACACAGCTGTCTTCTGTGGTGGACATTGGAGTTGTTCTTGAATAATTCTTTGAATATCCTTGCCCAACTTTTTCCTCTTGGGTGGAGCTGTTAGCTCAGGGGGCGATTCTACGCTTGTTCCCTTGAGGAATTCAGACTGCCTTCTGAATTGGCTGACCTGTGTGCCTTACCCTTGGCACTATAGGCCAGTTGCAGTTTCCCTGTCCCCTGCTAGTAGGTACTATTGCTTTTTACCCTGGCAAAGATAATCAGCGTCCTTTCCTGTGCTTTGGAAAAGTATGTTTACATCCCTTGCTCATTTAAATTGAGTTGTTTTTGTTTGTAAAGATAACGTTTACTTTATGTGAGTGTTTTGTCCTCATATATGTCTGAACACCACATATGTGCAGAATAGATAGTTGCCATGTGAATCAGAACTGAACCTGAGTCCTCTGCAAGAATAATGAGTGCTCTTAACCGTTGAACCATCTCTTCAACTCTTCTGAGTTGTTTATTCTGGATATATCAGAAATGAAATTTGAAAAAATTCCCCCCATTTTATGGGATTTTTGCTTTTTTGATGGTGCCCCACAGACATTAATTTTGTTAAAGTCTGCTTAATACAGTTTTTCTTTTGTTGTGGGTGCTTTTTGGTGCTGTATGTGGGACTGCTGCCAAATCCGAAGCCACTAAAGTTTATGCCTAAGTTTTTATCTAAGAGTTTATCTAAGAGTCAGTAGTTTAGCTTATGTTTTCATGCCAGGTTTATGATGCAGTAAGGAAGCGTGCATGCTGGTCGTATAGTTTTCTCAGCATCACTTGCTGCAAATGGTATTGCTAGTGTTTTATTATCCCTGTTAAAATTCTATTTGTGTGTCTTCAT